ACAGGACTCTGTTCGTTAGTGTTGTTTCGAATCAGTGTTGGTACATGAAACTTGCCTGAAATTTCAGTGTTGGTACAAATAAATTGCCTGGAAAATCAGTCCTTACATGGAAAGAAACACTTTCCAATCAGCCTTAGGCCCAAAAAAACCCTGGAAAAAAGTTTTTCAAGGGCAAATCAGCGTTTTTTTCCTGACTTCTGAGGGCCTGGTTCACAAGGATAAGCAAAGCTAGAGGCTATCACAGAGGGCAAGTGAGGAGGAGAAACTATGGAGGACGAGAAGATGAGAGGCGACGGCTGAAGCTGCAGACACACGGGCAACAGGAGTGCGCAGCACTGACGCTACCAGGCTAAACCCGGGCTACACGGCGACAGGCGCAGCTGGCTCAGTGTGCTCCCAGGAGTGCTCACACTGTGGCTACCGGGCGCAGAGCCCCGGACTACACGGCCACAGGGGGTCGTGGCTCTCTGGACTACCAGGAGTGCTCACACTGTGGCTACCGGGCGCAGAGCCCCGGACTACACGGCCACAGGGGGACGTGGCTCTCTGGACTTCAGGCGCTGCGGACGACAAGTCGGCTACCTCCGGTCAACCTCCCCCAACTGTCCCACACCCCTTTCACACACCCCCTGCTGAACCACTAGCACCGCTCACACGCCACCCCCCTCGTACCACTCCGACGGCTCCAACACATCCACCCCCCTCAGCGGCAGCTGCAGCAGTGGGAGACGGAGGAGGAGGAGGAGCAGGGGACGGCTCACACACACGGCACCCCCATACTCTCCACCCCCAAACCCTAACACAGGAGTGCGGTCAGAAGCTCGGGGGACGGCGTGCGGCACTGGGGCAGACGGTACGGGCCGCTCACGGGCCTGGCGCAGGCCGGACGAACCGCGCGTGGGCTGCCCGAGCCGCGCGCGGGCCTGGCGCGGCCCGTGCGGGCCGCGCGCGGGCCTGGCGCAGGCCGTGCGGGCCGCGCGCGGGCTGTACGGGCCGCGCGCGGGCCTGGCGCGGGCCGTGCGGGCCGCGCGCGGGCCTGGCGCGGGCCGTGCGGGCCGCGCGCGGGCCTGGCGCGGGCCGTGCGGGCCGCGCGCGGGCCTGGCGCGGGCCGTGCGGGCCGCGCGCGGGCCTGGCGCGGGCCGTGCGGGCCGCGCGCGGGCCTGGCGCGGGCCGTGCGGGCCGCGCGCGGGCTGTACGGGCCGGGTGCGGGCCTGGCGCGGGCCGTGCGGGCCGCTACGGGCGACGGGGGGCGACGCGCGGGTCCCCGGGGGCGCTGCGACGGGCGACGGGGGGCGACCCGCGGATCGACGGGGCAGAAAACCGCCGCGCGCCTCGGGGCGCACGGCGGGCAGAAAACCGCCGCGCGCCCCGAGCGCGCGGCGGGATGAAAAATACGCCGTGCACCCGAGCGCGCGGCAAGCAGAACACGTCGCGCGCCCGGGGCGCGCGATAGGCAGGACAGCAGCGGAAGCATTAGGTGGCGGGCCCATCCACAGGATCGACCCAGGAGGGTCGACCTGCTCTGATAGCATGTCGGAATAGCAGGCACAAGCTAGAAACAGGAAAGAGTGGTTTTCACTAGCAGCAGTTGAGATACAGATAGGAAACCCTAATTGGGTTGTACTCGCTATAGAGTACCCCACTGCAGGCTAGACAAACATCGACATTCTGACAGGTAGCGCCGCCGCCTGGATCCCCAAAACTGCACTACAATTTGCTGAAACTGTAACAGAAGGCCTGGGGTAAACGGGGCACAAGGCCAGCAGTTTGCAGCCGCTGCACAGCAAGTAGAACAGCTGACCAGCAGAGTCTGTTCAGGTAGGGGGCAGTGTAGGGTACTGTACTATAGCAGTGGTGCCCCATACATGCTGTAACTTGCTAGTACGTCCGAGCATATTTCACCACACAATCTAGACTAGTTTTGTAAGAAGTTCCCCACATTCTCTTATTGGATAGACACCCATCCCACCGCCCCTCCCCACCTCCTTCCTCCTTTGTGATTTCGGCTGATAAATAGTGCAGGACGAGCTAGCCCATTCTACTGCTGATTTAAAGTACCATACTGCATAAGAATGACCTGTGCACCCACACCATACACCCATTTCCCTACCTCCTTCACCCAACCTCACCCCCTCTCATCTCCAACCATCCCTCTCCACCCCCTCGTCCCCTTCCTCTCTCCTTCAAGGAATGGGTCCAAGCGAGAGAGTGAGCAGCGGGGAGGGAGCAGCGCCGAGAGTGGCGGGCGGGTGGGAGAGGCTGAGGCTGCCCACAGAGTGCGCCAGGAACTCCACTGCGGACGACCGGTACCGGTCGGGCAGGTCTGCAGGGGCCGTGCGGGCGCTGGCAAGCAGCATATGCTGTAGGCTGGTGATGAGCGCTGAGTCCGCCACTAGGTCCTCCAGACGCACGTGCACCCCTGCACGGATGGCACAGGGAGGGCGTGAGAGGGGCGCAGGGAAGGGAGGAAGGGAGGGTCAGTGCGGAGAAGAGATTGGGCATGCTTTGTGTGGTGCGCACAGCTGGTGGACCAATGGATCGTTTGCAGAGAACCGAATGAAGAGCGTTTGTGTGCCACGCTTGAGCAGGTAAAGGCAAACACTGCAAAGGCACCGAGCGGTGCAGGCCGAGTTGACAGAAGGAGGGGGGGAGAGAAAGCGGAAGGGCAGAAGGGGCATCTCACGGAATCGCCAGTAGTGGCGAGGGTTGGTGGGGTCGTTGATAGTCTCGTCGTTGGCTGGCCGTGTCAAATACTCCTCCCTCAACGCCATCAGGTCCTGATGGCCCACACGCACAGGCACGCGATGGCGCACGCACAGGGATCGAACAGGGGTGTTGCGAAGTGCAGAGTAACAATAGCACAGGGTATGGGTGAGTGCATGGACGTATGCGGGATTTGTTAAAAGCAGCAGGGATAGCTGCAGGGTTAGAAAGAATAGGCAGCAAGCAGCAGAGAGCAAGGGTATGGTACCTGCAGAGGGAAGATGGCCCACACGCTGGGAGCATCGCAGTGCTGCTGGATGATGGCCCTCGCCACGTCCGGTGTACACCTGCAGCCCGGGTGCATGGGGGGAGGGGAGAGGGGGGGAAGGCGTGGACACATGGGATGTCAGCATGGAAGGCAGAGGAGGTCGAGGGGTGTCGGAGAGATGAAGTTGGGTGTGTAGCGGGTGGTGGAATACGGAGGGGAATGAGGCACGGAATACGGTGCAATATGTGGACGGAATGTGTGAAAAAAGGAGGTCCAGGAACCTCAAGGCCGAATGTAATGCCATTTGCACACAAAGGGAAGAGCAGTAGAATGTGTGGAATATGTAGAGGGGTAAAGAGCGAGGCAGCAATGGGAGCACCGGTCGGGGGCGGGTGAGCTGAAGCCAAGCACGGAGCGGAAGAACTTGTGACGCCGCTCCGCCTCCTCCTCCCACCACGCACGCAGCGTTGACGTGTCATGACACGACGGCGCACACACCTGGGGGCAACGTGCGAAGCAGAGGGACAGCGAGTAGGAGAGAGGAAGTGATTGCGTTGGTATGCGGCTCCTTGTGCCTCGTACAGAATGGACCAATCGAAAATAAAAACTGCAATTGACTTGCCCAGGGAAAGCTGAGGAGCAGCAACCAACAATAATCCCTCAAACAGGCCACTCTGTTAACCCTTGAGCGCAGAGCAAAGGGAGGCCACGTGCATGAGCAGAGAGCAGAGAGCAGAGAGCAGAGAGCAGAGAGCAGAGAGCAGGAGCCCCCACGCACCGTCATGTAGTCGTATTCTGCAGGGTTGCCAAAGTCCTGGCCTATCTTGGTGGCCATGCGCTGAATGCGCAGCCCCAGTAGCCCCAACTCCGCCAGCACCTGTGCGGTGCGCCATGGCACACGGATGGGGAGGGATGGAAGGGCAGGCGGATGGGAGGGGTTACCGCAACGAATGGCAGGAAATTCCGCACTAGAGGACAGGGTGGTGGGGAGTCCCTCCCTCAGGGGAACGGGTGCAGGTGGTGTCACGACGGGCGAGCATGAGCAGCCAGCACAGCAGCGAAGCGAGCAGCAAAGAGAGAGCACGAGGCATAACGGCGCCACAACACCACAACAACATCACACCGCACAAGCACGGCACGTACGGGCGGCACGCAGGCGGGCACGAGTCCCAGGTCCTCCCCGCAGGCGAGCATGTCGGAGGCGTTCATGAGCACGGGCAGCGTCTTGAGTGCGTTGCTGCGCCACAGGCTCTCCTGCCGTGAGTAGTAGTAGTCCAGGTACAGCCTCTTCACCACCGCCTTGCTGCGCGCATGACGGGGAAAGAGAAGGGATGGGAGCAGGGAGGAGGGGACGGGAGGGGAGAGGAGAGGAGGGGAGGGGGGATGCAGGTGGAGCGAGATGTGGTGAGGAGGCAGCGCAGTGAGGAACGGGTGCAGTGTGTGGATATATAAATGTGCTGCTGGAGCAAGGCAGTGCGATGCCCTGCGATGGCAGCACGTGTAGTGCTGTGCTGCGCACGATGACAACGAGAAGGCATACGTGACCCACATGGAGCAGCAAACAGACCCCTCACCCCCCCCTCGCCTCTCCTCTCCTCCACCTTCTCATGCTCCACTCTACTCCTCCTTTCCTCCACCTGCACCCCTCTGCACCCCTCTGCACCCCTCTGCGCCTGGCTCACGTGTGGTCATCGAGCTCCATGAAGCTGGCGGTCTTCTCGCAGTCGAAGCGCGGGTAGAACTTGCGCGGGTCGTCCTGCGTGCGGATCAACACCACGCTCTGCACCGCTCGCATGCCCACATCGTCGGATTGGCATTGTGGGGGGGTTAAGGGCAAGGAGAGAGGAATTGGATGAGAGAAATGTTTGGCAAGCAGCACATACAGCAGCACAGTGGTACAGCTTGCTGTAGCAACATGGAGGTAACAGAGAGTACATAGTGCAGCAGCAGCCAGAGGAGGAGGAGGAGGAGGAGGAGGAGGAGGAAGAGGAGGAGGAGGAGGAGGAGGAGGAGGAGGAGGAGGAGGAGGTGGGATGAGGCAGCACCTGGAAGAGTGAGAGCAGTCCTTTGCGAGTCTCCTTGGCCTCCTCCTCCAGCCACTCGGGCGACCCCTCTCTGGGTTCCACGGCTGCCACGATCTTCTTCTCTGTGTCGTACTCCTTCTTGAACTGCCACGGGGGAATGCCAGACATATGCCATGTGCCGGGTGTGTGTTGGGTGTCACGTGCCATGTGCCACAGGAACGTTTCGCAGGCTTGAGAATGAGCACCCATCGTGAGAAGCATAGGACGGGCTGGCAACAATACGCTGAATGCTGTATCCTGCATGCTTATACCATGGAACTATCCTGTGGCACATTACCCTGTGGCACATCACATTACCCTGTGGCACATCACATTACCCTGTGGCACATCACATTACCCTGTGGCACATCACATTACCCTGTGGCACATCACATTACCCTGTGGCACATCACATTACCCTGTGGCACATCACATTACCCTGTGGCACATCACATTACCCTGTGGCACATCACATTACCCTGTGGCACATCACATTACCCTGTGGCACATCACATTACCCTGTGGCACATCACATTACCCTGTGGCACATCACATTACCCTGTGGCACATCACATTACCCTGTGGCACATCACATTACCCTGTGGCACATCACATTACCCTGTGGCACATCACATTACCCTGTGGCACATCACATTACCCTGTGGCACATCACATTACCCTGTGGCACATCACATTACCCTGTGGCACATCACATTACCCTGTGGCACATCACATTACCCTGTGGCACATCACATTACCCTGTGGCACATCACATTACCCTGTGGCACATCACATTACCCTGTGGCACATCACATTACCCTGTGGCACATCACATTACCCTGTGGCACATCACATTACCCTGTGGCACATCACATTACCCTGTGGCACATCACATTACCCTGTGGCACATCACATTACCCTGTGGCACATCACATTACCCTGTGGCACATCACATTACCCTGTGGCACATCACATTACCCTGTGGCACATCACATTACCCTGTGGCACATCACATTACCCTGTGGCACATCACATTACCCTGTGGCACATCACATTACCCTGTGGCACATCACATTACCCTGTGGCACATCACATTACCCTGTGGCACATCACATTACCCTGTGGCACATCACATTACCCTGTGGCACATCACATTACCCTGTGGCACATCACATTACCCTGTGGCACATCACATTACCCTGTGGCACATCACATTACCCTGTGGCACATCACATTACCCTGTGGCACATCACATTACCCTGTGGCACATCACATTACCCTGTGGCACATCACATTACCCTGTGGCACATCACATTACCCTGTGGCACATCACATTACCCTGTGGCACATCACATTACCCTGTGGCACATCACATTACCCTGTAGCAGAGGTGCTGGTACTCCTCAAAAAACTTGGATGCGATCTCTGCCCACCGTTGGCCAAACTTCTCCTGATGCACGTGCATTCACACACACGTACATACCCATGTGCATTCACACATGAATGCACACATGCACACAGATGGACACACACACGTAGGGGTCGCAGAGGCGGTTGAAGTCCCACACGCCCTCCTTCTCAAACTCCTCCTGCCACGCCCACATTCACATATGCAAACAGAACCTGAAGAGTCAGTAACCTCTTTAAAAAAGGTGAGAGCAATGCAGTGAAAAATGCGCAACAGAACAAATGGAGGAACGGTGCACAAGGAGCAGCAAAGCAAAGCAGAATGAGAGCAGAGGGGCAAGGCGGGGCGAGGAGCATGCACCTGCAGCAGGTGGCAGCGCACGTAGGGGTCGCAGAGGCGGTTGAAGTCCCACACGCCCTCCTTCTCAAACTCCTCCTGCCACGCCCACAGCCACAGACGGCACGCAGAACAACACAGAGGTACGGGAGCACACAGTCAGGAGGCACGCAGGACAAAGCCCAGAGGCACAGAGCAGTGGAGGGCCACACAGGAATGCGCGCAGCTTCTTCCAACCGCATTCATACCCATCTACCATGCCTGCGATGCAACAGCGCGGTGCAACGAGCAAGCTGAGCTATAAATGGCAGTGCACAGCGCAACAACAACCAACCGCATTCTTTTGTATCACCAGACCAAAATGGCGAGAGAGGAAAAGGCAAGGCGGGGATGAGTGGTTTACCGCGGAGATGGGGATGGAGGGGCGAAAGTGGCCGAGGATGCCGCAGACGGCATGGTCAGGCAGCTCCCAGATGCGGAAGAACCCCAGGATGTGGTCTATGCGGTAGGCGCTGAAGTACTTAGCCATCTGCCACGCACGTGCACAACAGTGGGGACAGACAGGGCAGGCAGCGATAGCAGTACAAGGGACAGACACGATTTCTGAGCCCAGGGAAGACGAGGAGAGAGCTACATATAGCACGGCGCAGCACCATGCTCTCACCATCCGTCCCTGCCACTCATCCCCACGAGCCAACCCTCTCTCCCTCCTCCTTCTTTCAGCCCAAACACGGCGCTCATGACACCTGTGTGAGGCGTGCACGCCACCACGCGTAGTTATCCCTGCCCATGGCCTCCCAGTTGTACGTGGGGAAGCCCCAGTTCTGCCCCTCGCTCGAGAAGGCGTCGGGCGGCGCGCCGGTGGACGTGTCCATGTGGAAGAGCGAGCGGAAGCGCCACGTGTCCACGCTGCAGCGGTCGACGCCGATGGGCAGGTCGCCCTTGAGCACCACGTGCCGCTCGTGCGCGTATGACGCCGCGTCCAGGAGCTGTGCACACAGGGCGGTTGGGGTGGTGATGAGGATGAGGATGGGGATGGAAATGGCGATGGTGGTGACAATGCAGCAGCAGTGGTGAGCAGTGCGTAAGCGGCCCACTCGTCCTTAAAGCAACAACAATAAAATACCACTCTGGTTTGAGCGAACACCCAAGCGTATTGGAATTCGAAATGAGACCCTGCATGTGCAGATAGTACTGCACGTAGTGACCCACCTACCACATGGCTTGAAACCATCGTTAAACATACCTGCACGTGCAGGTGGTACTGCACGTAGTGACCCACCCACCTACCACATGGTTTGAAACCATCGATGCACGCACCTGCACGTGCAGGTGGTACTGCACATAGTACGTGAATGCGATGGTGGCATGGTAGTCTGTGCCTGGCGCCACTATGCGATCCACCTGCCATGCACGACGCATGACACACACACGGCGGGCACGGCACGTGCGGGCGAGAAGCGCGCACAGGGGCTTGGCTTGGAGCATGTGACGAGACAGTGGTGCAGAGCATGGTGCAGTGCGAGCGAGGTGATGCGAGCAGAGAATGGCCACACGACAACTGCCGAGCACGGAATAGAGATCAGGTGCAGCAGCGACAGCCGACAAGGCGAGTGCGCAGAATGGCACAAGGCAATGAAGGTGCGGAGCAGAGCACAGCACAGCACAGCGCACCTGCTCCTGCGAGTAGTTGGCGAGTGTGCCCCACTGCGTGTGGTCCGCAGTGCCAAAGAGCTTCTTCAGGAACATAAACGCCGCATACGGTTTCAGCCAGTCCTGGGGACACACAACCGGACAGAGGCGAGGGGGCGGAGAGACAGAGCGCAGCACCAGCTTTCAAGCCAAGGACGGGAAAGGAAAGGGCAAGGCAATGCCAGGGCATGCATGTACCCGCCTGCTCCTCCCACATCCAAACACCAACCTCGCCTCCTGTTGCCGCCACACTCCTTTCCGTGTCCCTCAAAGCGTTAATATTCTCCTTGCTTCCCCTCCCAGTCCTTCTCACCTGCCCCTCCACAACAACCCCTCCTCGCCTACCGCTCTACACCACCCCCCACCGCTGCACACACCTGGTTCTCGTGGAAGTAGTCCTTGAAGGGCTGGGAGGCGAGCAGGCGGTCGCCGTCCCACTGGAAGACAGCCCGTGCGATGCGCAGCTTGGCGCTCATGGTGGCATCATAGTCCACTGCCTCCTTGTCCAACACCTCCCTCGCACTCTCTATCTCCGCCTGTAATGAAGGGGTGCACATATTTTGAGTCGAATCAATACAGTGGAAGACAGTGCGTGCGATGCGCAGCTTGGTGCTCATGGTGGCATCGTAATCCACTGCTTCCTTGTCCAACGCCTCCCTCGCACTCTCTATCTCCGCCTGTTGGGGGGGCACGTTTGGGCACACACGCACATGCACACACACGCGCGTGTACACAGATGCCCAAGCGCGCGCATGCACACACAGACGGACATGCACACAGGCATGCACAAAGACACACACATGACATATGACACCGCGGCATGTGTGGGGCTGACAGGGAGCAAACGGAAGAGTGTGCAGAGCAGACCCCGTGTAACATCCTCCACAGCAGGGGCAGGAGGCGCACCTGGATTTGCGCGGGCAGGTTGGGGGCGAGGGCTTGCAGTCGCAGGTAGAGCGGATGCAGGGCGAACACGGAGAGCGAACTGCAGGAAGCAGGGCGTTGACATCGGTGTAGACGTGGGCGTGGGCATGGTATGTGGGTGGGGGGTAAGGGTGGGCATGGGCGTGACAAGGGAGGAAAGAAGAGGAGGGAAGAGGGGTTTGGGGAGGAGGCGGAGGAGATATTGTGCAGAGGCCCTCAAGGGCGGGGGAGGGAGAACAGGGAAGGGGAGAACGAGTCAGATGGAAACAGGGAACAAAAGAAAGGTTCGGGAGAAAGAGACAACACAGGAACAGCAGGAAGAAAAAAGGGCGTGGGGGGAAGGAAGAGACAAGGGACTGACCTGTACGGATAGGAGTCCCACCACATGTCATTGACAGAGGTGTCATTGACAGGCAGTAGCTGCACGAGGCGCAGGCCCGCACTGTGTGCAAAGTCCACGAGCAGACGCAGGTCCGCAAACTCGCCCACGCCCACACTCTCCTTGGAGCGCAGTGAAAACACTGGGATTGCGACTCCTGCTCCCCGCCATGGGTTCGCCTGAGTGCACGGGTGTGGGGGGAGAAAGCGGAGGGGTGGAGGTGAAGGTGGGTTGGGTGTGGCGTGTGGGGGTGGGGTTGGGGTTGAAGTTGGAGTTGGAAGGTAGTGGGAGTGAGTGAGAGTGGGAGTGGGGGTGGGAGTGGGGAGTGGGGAGTGGGGGGAGTGGGAATGGGAGTGGGAGTGGGAGTGGGAGTAGGGGTGGGGGTGTGAAGAGGCTGAAAAGAAAGGATAAAGCAGTGGCGTGCGTGCATGCCACTGCTTTCGTGGCATGTGGAGAATCGGAAGTACGGAGATGAGCAGCGGGGCACACGTTTGTCATCATATGACGGAGAGAAGGAGAGAGGGAGAGAGGGAAAGGAAGGTGTGGTGTGAACGCACTCTGAAGTGGCCGTCGGAGACAAAGATCATGATGGAGGGCTTGCGCGCTGAGGTGTCTAGCCCCAGCTCTATGTCACTGCCGTACTCCGATGTCACCGACCCGTCCGCATCCCGCAGACAGTACTTGTATGTGTTGGTGTCACGCAGGAGAAGAGGCGAGGAATGTAGAGGAGAGGCGGGGAGAGTCGAGGAGGGGAGAGGCGAGGAGAATAGAGGAGAAGAGAGGAAAGGAGGTAGAGGGGCGGGGAGGGCAGCAAGAGGAGAAGGAAAGACGAGAAACCGGAGGCCAACAAGGAGGTGCAACGATGGGGGGCGAGCAGTTAAGGAGAACCGTATGTGCCGAGGGTGCACGAGAGATGAGTGGAGTTTGGGGTGAGTGAAAAGCACGGTTCAGTGAACGAGTACAAAAAAAGGAAAAGCACAAAACACAGTGAGTCAGAGGGAGAGGGAGGTATGCGAAGGTAGGTGAAAGATGCAAGGGAGCGCGGGCGGGTGGAAGAATTGGTGGTAAGGATGGGAGAGGCGCGTGGAGAGGATATCGAATGGGGAACTCGTGGCGTGGTAGCGAGAGGTCGACCTCCCAGAGTGTGCCGTGTGTGCGCGTCATCGGCACACAGCCCCCCGCCTCCCACGCGCCCAGTCGGGGTGCACTGCCCGTCACACACACCTGCGGCGAGCGGCAGAGAGATGGCGGGGCAGCAGAGGGATGGTGGGGCATTTATGGACGTCAGGAGTTGCACTTGTGCTGGAAAACAGCAGCTCTGCATGCTTGCACGTGCATGAATGCATGTGCAGGCGCGGCAGCAGGACATGTGAGCGAATGCTGACTAGCATGCAGCAGACAGACAGACACAGAGCGCACTCGTGCTCCTATGCACGCCATTGAGGCAGGAGAGCGCACCTTCTGGCCCTTGTCTAGCCGCGAGCAGTTGACTCTGAATCTCAGCACAATGTCATCTGCAGGCAAGAGGGCATGTGGGCAGCGGAGACGGTGAGTGCAGACAGAGGCATCAGCATGGCCCCGTCCCACAACAATGCTTCTCCACGCCCTTTCCCAGACCAGCAGGCCCCTGTGGAATTAATAACCCAGTGATCCCATTCCCAACCATCAGCTCTCAGACACTTCGAGATGCATGCACCAGCATGGCCGCCACAACAGCCACATGGTGAGCAACAACCCTGCCTCAACCCCTCCTGCTGCACAGCGCATCCCTCCACTCCCCTAAAGCAGCACCGCTCCTCCATTCAACCGCTATTCCCCCACCCCTTGCACCCGACCCATGTGTCCCACCACATGCACCTGTGTGTGTCCAACCCCATCACCCCCCCCCCCCCCAAGCGCTGCATACCTTTGGACTCGAAGAGCTCTGGCGGCAGCGGTGGCAGTGCAGTGGGTGAGTCGTGGCTGTCGTCGTCCGCCTGCGCGGCCTTGCCAAAGATGACCTTGCGGAATGCGTTGCGCGACAGCAGCGTCTCGGGGGACGACCCGTCCTGACATGACATGCGTGAGAGGCGCGAATGGAGGCGCATGATTGCACACATGCAGGCGGCACAAACGCACACACCCATGGTGGTGAGGGGATGCACGGGAAGGGGGCGCGGGGGGACAGCGGGATGGGGGACGGAGAGACCCAAAGATGAATCTGACTGACCAATGCAAAGCGTGGACCGCACTTCAATATCCGCACACCCATCAGTAACCGCCCTTCAAGTTCGGCCACAATAGAGGCTGCCACGTGCTTGCCGAGAGAGCAAACACGCACGTACAAGAGGAGCACTGCACAATGCCAGCTTCCTTCTCTGCATGCTGGCCTTGCTGCACCTCCATCCATGCAGCGTACTGATGGCAGGTTCCGCCTCTAGTTGCTGATGATAACCAGCCGTGATGGGGCAAGACAAAGAACGCTTTGGCTCATGCCAGATGCACTCTCTCTCTACCCCGAGGCCGTGTTGCACGTCCACTGCAAGCAACGCTCG